TCAATTCACAGTTTCAATGGACTGCAAAAGATCAGATGTCCATCAAGCAAGTACAGACACTTCTTGACTGCAGCCTATTTCTTACTGGTTGTCTCGAGTCTTAAGGATTGCATCTACTTGCTGTTTAAAGGACTGGATCTACTTGCTGTTTACGACATGCTGTTTATTGTTTAATACCTTAAGTCTTAAGAAGTGTTTGTACTTGCTTGATGGATATCTGATGTTTTGCGGTCCGTTGAAATTGTGAACTGAGAATCTGTGATATCTTTCTTTTGGGTTGGGAGTGTCAAATAGTAAATGTTAGGTATTGCTTTAAATCTCCAGCCTGTTCATTGCAGCTCATGGAGTTCACATATTGAAGACTGATGCATATTTGAGGACACATTTGGAGCCTTTTGCAATGTAAAACTTCCAAGTGTTGGCATGAGATCTCCTGGAATTACAGCTCATCCCCAGAATGGAAAGATCAGTTCTCCTGGAGAAAAGGGTTGCTTTGGAGGGTGGGACTCTGTGGCATGGTACCCCGTTGAGTTCCCTGCCCTTCCTAAACTCTGCCCCCTGCCGACCTCCAGGAACTTCCCTACCCAGAGCTAGAAGCGTGTCCTGAAATAGGATGGGAGGGCGTTTCACTTGCCAGGGAGTTTAACGCCTTGGCAGTGAACGTGCGTAAAAGGAGTCACAGGTATGCATTATGTGTGTGTTTGTGTGTGAGAGCCAGTTTGGTGTCGTGGTTAAGTCCGCGGACTCTAATCTGGGAGAACCGGGTTTGATTCCCCACTCCTCCACTTGCAGCTGCTGGATGACCTGGGGCAAGTCATAGTTCTGCCAGAACTGTCCTTGAAAGGGCAGTTCTTGAGAGAGCTCTCTCAGCCCCACCTGCCTCATAAGGTGTGTGTTGTGAGGAGAGGAAGGGAAAGGAGTTTGCAAGCCGCTCTGAGACTCTGAAGGGCGGGGTATACATCCAATCTCTTCTCTTCTTCTTCTTTCTTTCTTTATGCTGTTTATAGGACAAAGTGTGAGTCCAGTCAGGCACCTTGAAGACCAACAAAGTTTTAGTCAAGGTGTGAGCTTTTTCGTGCACGCACACTTCTCCAGATACAGCCAAACCAGACATCCTCAACCATCACGTATAGGAAACCAAGAAGGGCAAGTTAGAGTCAAGATGCAGAAGTGACTGGGCGATGATAGCCGAGACGGATTAAGGCCTTGCTCAGCTTCCGAGATCTGATGAAATCAGACTGGCCTGGACCATCCAGGTCCAGGGGCTGTGGCTCAGCTGTGGATCATAATATTTTTTCTTCTTGTTCAGTCGCACAGTCGAGTCCGACTCTCCGCGACCCCATGGACCAGATGACGCCAGGCCTTCCAGTCTTCTGCCGTCCTCTGCAGTTGGCTCAATTTCATGTTCGTTGCATCTATGACACTGTCTAACCATCTCACCCTTTGTCGTCCCCGTCTTCTTTGACCTTCAATCTTTCCCAGCATCAGGGTCTTTTCCAGTGAGTGCTCCCTTCTCATTTGGTGGCCAAAGTATTTGAGCTTCAGTTTCATTATCTGGCCTTCCAGGGAACAGTCAGGGTTGATTTCTTTTAGGATTGACTGATTTGATCTTCTTGCAGTCCAAGGGACTCTCAAGAGTCTTCTCCAGCACCATAGTTCAAAAGAACCTATTCTTCGGAGCTCGGCCTTCCTTATATTCCAACTCTCGCAGCCATACATGACTACTGGGAATACCATTGCTTTGACCATGCAGACTTTTGTTGGCAGGGCGATGTCTCTACTTTTTATCAGGCTGTTTAGGTTCACCATCGCTTTCCTCCCAAGGAGCAGGCATCTTTTAATTTCATGGCTGCTGTCACAGTCTGCGGTGATCGGGGATCCCAGGAACGTGAAGTCTGTCACTACTTCCACGACTTCCCCTTCTATTTGCCAAGGAGTGATGGAGCCGGATGCCATGATCTTAGCTTTTATGATGTTGAGCTTCAAGCCCACTTTTGCGCTCTCCTCTTTTACCCTGAGCAAGAGGCTCTTTAGGTTTTCTTCACTTTCTGCCATCAGAGTGGTATCGTCTGCATATCTGAGGTTGTTGATCTTTTCCCCAGCCATCTTAATTCCCGCTTGTGATTCATCCAGGCCAGCATTTCGCATGATGTACTCTGCATATATATTAAATAAGCAAGGTGACAAAATACATCCTTGGCTGTCTAGGTTTGCCATCGTTTCTTCTTAAGGAACAGGCATCTTTTAATTTGCTCATATTTAAGAAGTTGCATTGCTGGGAGTGCTGTACTCAAATCTAGATTTTCACCTGTAGTCTGAAAGGCATTGGATGCTGCTGCTGCGTGAATTGCACAAGGTGAAGCCCTCTGTCCAAGCGCCCGTCCAGCAGAGGAGCTTTGGCGGCCCTTCGGAGCCGGAAAGGGGCAGTCACTCCCCTCCCTTTTCCCAGCCATTCATCAGCTCTTTTCTCCCCACTGCAGGCGATTCACAGGTACCGTGAGACGGAGAAATCGCACTGGAGCCAGGAGAGCCTGAAGATCTTGCAGAGGGTCCGGGACGTGGCGTTCCCTCCGCACGTGCCGCAGCTGGCCCAGGTTCACGTCCTGGATTTGGACAAAACGGGCTACATAAAGCCCCACGTGGACAGTGTCAAGGTAACCCAGCACACTAAGGCGAAACGCACCTTCTGTTTTCTTCTGCAGCGATGGGGGTTTTTTTGACGCTTGCAGCGTCCTGATTCTTGGCAGGCTTCCTTGGCCAGGTGTTCAAGTCTAAGCCGATGGAGTCTGAACTTGCTGAGATGGATGGGGGGAGAAAAAGATCTTGGGGTCGTCGTGGAGAGCACTGTGTCAGCCCAGTGGTGAAAAGGGGATTGTGTTAGGGATTATTAGGAAAGGGATTGAGAACAAAAAGGCCAATATTGGCCCCGGTCACACGGGCCGGATACCGGGAGGGAGGCGTGGCAAATTGCCCCGGCGCAGTTTGATCCGCGATTACACGATCAGACGCGCCGGCGGCACACCACGGGTCCTTCCCTCGGCGCCGGTGGGTAAACGAGGGTGGCAATCACACAACGATCCTGCAGCGTGGCAAAGAAGTGGCATGGCGCGATCACACCAGCAACGGCTAGGTGCCGCTGCCATGACAAACGGGGTCATTTTTTTTAAAGTCGAAACGGCACTTTCGCTTTCCCCTTTGTGCGCATGCGCCGTTGGGTGCTTGTGCGCATCTTGTGGAGACTTGGGGGGGGAACCTGTTTGCGAAGGGACATGGGCGGGCGCCGGATGCCACCACCGGAAACGCGATCAGACGCCAGCCCTTGCCCCGCGGTTTCTGTAAACTAGTACCTCGGAGGTACTAGTTTTTAACTCCGCATCTTCGGTGGGAAGCCTTGGGTTCGCCACGGAAGCTCTACGCTTCCCAGATGTTGCGGTGTGATCGCGCCCAGAAAATCCGCCTATCTTCTGTCTCTGTAGCGTGGCTAATGCTCCGTGTGACCGCAGCCATTATAATGTGCCTGTATAGATTCAGGACTCTTTTTGTAGATAAAGCCCAGCAGAAACTCATTAGCATAACAGGCCACACCCAACAGCAGAAACTCATTAGCATATTTGGCCACATCCATAACAGCACAGCTCATTGGCATATTAGGCCACACCCCCATGTTACCAGACGTGTGCTCATCCAGCCACACCTACCTTTTGCTGCTTATTCTGCTTACCTTGTTTGTTGTCCAAACCCAGGGCCTTTTTTGTAGCAGGAACTCCTTTGCATGTTAGGCCACACACCCCTAATGGAGCCAATCCTAATGAGTTTCTGCTGTTGGGTGTGGCCTATTATGCTAATGAGTTCCTGCTGGGCGTGGCCAACTTGGGAGCCAGCCGGAACTCCGTTTCTGCCCAAAAATAGCCCTGTATAGATCTATGGTGTGGCCTCATTTGGTCTACTGTGTACAGTTCTGGTCCCCATATCTCAAGAAAGGACATCACAGAGCTGGGGAAAGTACCGAGGAGGGCGACCAAGAGGATGAGGGGGGTTGGAGCAACTTCCCTAGGAGGAAAGGCGGAATTGTCTCTGGGACTTTTCCTTTTAGAAAAGAGACC